GCTTTCGAGTCCAGCTAATGCGAGCCACATCCAGATAATTACTTGAACGTGTCACGTGTTCCGTGAATAGAAGTGAATAACCACTGTGAATTGACTACAGAACTCACACAAAAAGGGCAGATGGATCCGTTGCTGACAGCGACAACCACATGAGTCGTGCCCGGCACTTGCTGTGATTGCTGATTGCCACCTAAAAAACTCATTTGAGTGCTGTAAAGAGGTCGGCTGGAATCAGGGTCAACTGTCCGTTCGCATTATTCGAACGTTTTGGGTTTTGGGGAAGGTGGTCGCATTTTGGGTTGAGCAAGTTAACTAACTCTAGGAAAAGTGAGAGGGAGGTCATCCAAAGGGCGGGGGGGGGGGGAGAGGAGAGGGCGGGATTTGATGGGTTTCCGGATAGTTGGTGAAGTTGCTGCTCCGTGACACTAATTTACCCCTCTCCCTTGGAAGTGGTGTAGTGGCAAGTGGCACGCTCACCACGCGAGCGGTCCGGGGATCAAATCCTGGGTCGTGAGTCGCCCGGGCCAACCAAGGAAAATGCGTGCTGCATCCCAAATAGGGATTGATCAAAGGCGAATGCTTTATCCTTCTTATCCTCCCCCGTTCGACGGCCGTTTTGTAGTTTTAGAGAAAAAGTGGGCGGAGTTGGGTGTGTCGACTGGCCTCAGAATTCTCAGAATCAAATATTGTGGAAAAGCCATGATGGTAAGGGCGGTTATTGGGGTAGGGAGGAGGAGTGTCGTATTGGGAAGTCTCATAAGACTGATGGTGGTGGTGGGGAGGGGGGAGGGGTGCAAAATTCATGGGGAAGTGCGAACGCGATGTACCATTTCTTGCTCGCACAGCAGACATTTTTGAAGCACAATTTTAAAGCGTGATACCGCAGAGAAGTTTAACTACAAGAAGGTGACGTTGCTCGTTGACCACTCACTCTACGCCCTGCTAAATTTGTCCCCATTTTTACGCTATCGATATAAAGGGCTTGTAGCAAAAGCAAACATATTAAATCATCTTACCGACAGTATGAATTGCATGATAAATAGGAGGTTGGTTCGGAACGGGATACTGCGGATAGGGTTTCGGTGCATAAGGTGGATGTTGTGCGTTCGGCAAGCCACCTGATGGATAAGGTGTAGTAGGATAGCCCATTGCTGTGTGGTACGCTGGTGGAGGCTCACTGTATGGCCCCTAAAATAAGAAAACATTCAATTTCTTTAGCAGAAATCTGGCAAGAAAAAACTATCTTACGCCTGTCACAGGTCTCCCTTCCTCTGCTGGTGCTGCAGCAGCTTGATTCAAGTCTGGATATCGTGCGCCATCTCCACTATCATTGCTGAAAAACGAAAAATGATACGAGAAGTACCTACGCCCGCCGTATTCGTTAGGCCACTTGACAAGGGTAAGTTCTATAATCAAGAATTCATTCTTCTTTTGCAAACGCCACCTGTTTCCATCTCATTCGCGCTCTTAAACCGAATCAAAGAAGATAGATACTTAGATTTGATGAATGAAAAAGCAATCTAAATGTTGATAGACCAAATTGAAATGGGGATTGCACTCTGCACGATTAGCAATCCCCATTTCAATTCGGTCTATCAACATTTATTTATATTGCTACTCTTATTCTTACCAACAATGG